GCTGAGGCTACAAAAATATCTACTGGTAATTCTAGCTGCTGTATCAATCATTCACATGTACATGTAACAGAGTCTGGTGCTGCACAAGAGTCTCTTAACTTCCTGTTGGGTCCTGAGCAGGCAGAGGTGGAGGTAGGAGGGAGGCACCAATGCTGCACTGTGTCAAAATATGTCATTTCTTTCATCAAGCAGTTGCTAAACAGCTTGAAAACTAAAAGCCTTTCCTTATATGCAAAGTTTGAGTGCAATTACCAAAGACACTATCTTGAGAGTTGTTTATTTTTTTAAAGTATCAGTCTTTAAAATATCTTAAAAAAGAACCAATGTCCAGATCCACAAATCTCAAAAGGTACCTGCCTTGAAAGCAATGGGGGTTATTCATTTAAATTCACCTTACAATACTGAGAAATGTAAGGTGTTCCACCTTAGGGAAAAAACACCTGCATCATGCTTATAGGCTTGGCAGTGCTATGCTTACTAGCACCAAGGCCAAAAGAGACTTGGGGGTCATGATTGACCACAAGATGAACACGAGCCACCAATACAATGTCACAACTGGTAAAGCAAACCAAACTCTGGCTGGCATCCATAGATGCTTCTCAAGTAAATCTCAGGATGTCATCCTCCCACTGTACTTGGCCTTGGTGAGGCCGAAGCTGGAGTACTGAATGCAATTCTGGGCTTCACAATTCAAGAAGGATGTCAAGAAGTTTGAGAGAGTCCAGAGGAGAGCCATGCACATGATCAGAGGACATGAGAATAGGCCTTATGAAGAGAGGCTGAGAGCCATGGGACTCTTCAGCTTGGAAAAGCGCAGGCTCAGGGGTAACTTGGTGGCAGCCTACAAGTACATCCGGGTGTGCATCAGGACCTGGGGGAACACCTGTTCACCAAAGTGCCCCAAGGCATTAGGAGGACCAACAGTCCTAAACTCCTCCACAACCATTTTAGGGAAGAACTTATTTACTGTCCGAGCCCCCAAGGCCTGGAATAGGTTTCCTCCAGAGGTGGTGCAAGCACCTACTCTGGACTCCTTTAAGAAGCATTTGGATGCTTATCTTGCTGGGATCCTGTGACCCCAGCTGACTTCCTGCCCTTGGGGCAGGGGGCTGGCTGGGCCCCCCCAGGGCCCTTCCAGCCCTCATGTCTATGAAATCTATGAAATCTAAATAACACATACTTCTGGACTTGACTGATTTATATATATACTTGTGCAAAGCAATGTTGTAATGTTAGTAAGCATTAATATCCAATATAACAGATGGGTATATGGAGGTAGAGAACACAGTGTAACTCAGTAGAAGAACTCAAGTTAGAATTTAGGAGTTTTCACTTATTCCGCTGCTCTAAATAAGAGACCATGCTCCTTGCCCACATTCAAGCAGCACCTGTGTACATGAACAGCATATGTATACAGTACCATAAGAAGATACAGTGTAGATCATACATACATATTTAAAATGTCAGGTATTCACATCTTTAGATATTACTACAAATTACATACGTGGTAACTAAACTGGCCAGTGTTCATAGTTTGGCTTGATTCATAAAGCCAGGAATGCTGGGACCATAGGAACATATTTACCATGAAATCATTTTTCCTCAAAGACAACGTTGCTATTGGGTCTGATCAAAAGCCTCTGGAAGTTATTTGGAATTTTTCTATCAACTTCAGTGAAACTTGTATCATTCTGTACTAGTATTTGTACATGTTATTTATCTGAAAAAAGAAGCTGTAACAAAGTTAAACTCTCACTTGGAATTTAAATAGAATTTCCTACATCAGCAATCAGAAAAAGTAGGTATCACTGTAATCTTTTAAAATAATCTTAATACTAAGCAGATCTCAAAAATATGGGCAGAAGTCTAGGGGAAAATATGTAGCAACTGCATTCACAGGGCCTTCTCAAGGAAATGATTTCCTTTCAACCCCTTGTTGTTTTCCAACTCTATCAGAAAATGGAAAGTATTGGACTGAGACAGAGGGTGACCAGTCTTACAGATAATGGTTACATTTTTTTTAAATCTACAAGCTTCTAAAGTGTCATTTTTATAAATGTCTTGGGGTAGAAGGCTCAGGCTTTGGTGGGGAACTAAGCATCCCTCTAGACATGCAGATAAAGGTGTGATGGGATCTGAAGTGCAATCCACACGATCACACCTCCTATCATTCCACATGTGCATGGCAGGAGGCATTATTGTGGTACCCAGAATCAGATCCAATCACAACTTATTGCCAGTGCAGGGGAAAGCCCAGGTTCATGATCTTGGACTCCCCCTGCATTGGCTTCACTGACAGGGCTGGAAGCAGGGGCAACCTGTGGAACAGTGAGTAGTGCACCAGGCCACACATTCATCTAACGGTGTGATAAGAACAAACCAAAAAGTTATTTCACACTTTCTGAGGGATAACTTTGTGTCTTATTCCTTGTTTTATTGCATCATTGATCGAATGTGTGCCTGGGTCACAACATGAGGTGTGATTAGACTGGTTAATCATGCTTTAATTGTAACATGTCGATGGGGCCTGAGTTATCCAAAAGAAAACCCACAAAAAGTATGAGCTATACTCCAGGGTAACATAACAATAAATAATGGGTAAATAACCCAGAGACTTCTGCTTGGCATCATTTATATGTTGGCTTTATTAAATAATGAGACTGAGATTCAAATGGCGAAGTAAAAGAATAATGCCTGCTGAAAAACAGTTTGTTATAGTTCTGGACAGGGAGATAAAATGCAGTAGAGAAGCAGTACTGAGTTTTATTCCTGAACAAGACATTATATTAAGAGGGAAAAAGTAGGAGAGGTTGCAAGATTACTCCAAATGCATGGCTCCAAGATCTGTGTTAGTTATCAGGGAGGTTGTCATGTCAGGAAGATAAATTTCTCCCATGGAGAAGAATTCACAGGAAGCCTTTTGAAAAGAAATGTTCTCATAAGTAAATTGTAGAGCTACTACCGAATTCAAGGCTAAGAGGTCAGTACAACCCCTGTCCAACCATTAGCAGGTAATAAAACTATAATAAAAGCAGCTTTTCACTGCCACTCACTCTTTAGTTATAGACACCTTTAGAAGTCCCTACCATTCAAAGAAAATGATTATAGAGAGATGGTATTGTCTTTGTAGATAAGGCTGCAAACAAGAATCTGTTATAACTGAATGCTATTTTTAGTCCAAGTTGTGACTTTTACTCTTAAATATGGCTTGACCTAACTATCACCAATTTTACTAAAAACACTATGGAGAATTTCCCTTACAGGTTTAAGGAAAACAAGGCAATATATTTCTGGATTAGAAGTCATTTCAAGTTATTTTGTTCAAAAATTGTGCCATGTCTAAGATTTGATTTTCTAGCACCAGGTTGTTTCATTTGCTTGAATTGGTTTATCCATTGCTAAACACAGTTTGCAAAAATCATGGATTCTATGGTCCATAAATGCATCACGTCAGAAAGCACAGTTAACAGTCAAGTAGGCTGGGGGATTTTGCTTAAAAATAAAAAAAAGGCCTCTAAATGAATATACAATGATAGAAAAGTTAAGACTTTAAAAAAGACCTCTCTCTCCCATCCCCACAAAACAATTAAATGATGATTTCAAGAATGTGGTATGGAATTAGTATGAAAATGCTTAATAAACGAAGAACGGTTATGGTTGATGGTTTCCTGAAGTGTTTCTGTTTGCACTACAGCATTATAAAAGGGTAGGTTTAGGTCTGAGAGTTTGGGTGCTTTAAGTAGCAGGTATGATATCATTTTGCTCTTTTGAATGGCTTTGGTTGCTTGAAATTTCAACACTTTGTACAGAACCACATAAAGTCTTTTCTAAAGAAAGTATTTATAGACCTCATTGTTTTCACTTTGCCATGCTGCCTAACCAAGCAGAATTATGCTGGATAGGTTACAACATTACTTCAGAATGCTATTCCACTGAAGTTTATCCAGAGCTTTTAAAAGTTAATAATACAAATGGGTTAAATCAAACATCATTATGTATAAAGATCACTAATAGACAGACTAACCATTTGAGGGGCATTTTTAAATAATTGCAGAGATGTTGTAAGGAACCTGAAGTGAAGCAATTTCAGTTCTTGCCCCTCTCATCAGGTTCAGCTGTTTAACTCCAAATGAATATAGCCCTTATAGTGAATTGGTCATTACAGGTAATGCCTTCCCTGCACCTCTCTATTGTATCCATACTGTATATTGTCTATTTACAATTACTTTCTTAAGCTATAATGTAGAAGCAGTACCAGCTGACTAACCATGAAGGCACTGAGTCTTTACACCCTCACAATTAAGACAGAGAGTTCCTCCTTAATGATTAAGGGCCTTATTATACAGTAATATTGGGCAGCTTCTGGAACCCTTAACCCCTGGATTGTCTGTGCATTAACACCTTAAAGTGGTTTTAAGCACTCTTATGCAGCTCAAAATTACAGCACTCCAGGGCAGGATTATCTCTGATCCTTACAACCTAGCACCTGTTCCATTAAGGTGTGGCCACTCCCTACAGATGTGCTGCCCAGTATCCCAGGATCTCTCACCCCTCTCCCCACCCCAGAGCAGGGAGAGAAACCTGTCCTGGCTCACCAGCCCTTTAGTGGCAACTCACAGCTACAGCTCCTAGTCCTGCCCTTGCTCACAAGGTCTCTAATGGCAAGTCACAGCTGTGCAGGTAGGGACAGTCACAGGTTTCTAGACTAAGGGTGCGACTGCTCCAAACTCCAGCCTAGCAATAACACTGATTTACCATTCTTGTAGTTTGCAGTGTAAGGTATTAAAAGGCCCCAAGGTATGGGGACTATTGCAAAACTCAGTCCAAGTGCAAAGAAAAGTTCACCAACAACCTTTTCTGTAATGAATTTCCAAAGCCAGTATTAATCTGATTCTAGTTTCTATATTTTTAGAAATATCCTAAATATTTTATAAAGCCTTTTAACTTTCTTTTTCTAGCACTTGCTGGAAAGTATATACATTCTCATAACTTATACTCACTAGTGCAAATTCCTTGTTGAGAATCATCTGCTCCACTAGTGAAGACTCATTATGGAACAGATGAGGCTGCATGTGACTCCACATATGAGGAAACCACCAGAACTCATCCACAGATCTCAATAACAGGTCATCACCTTCATCTTCCTCTTCCGTTCCTGAAAAATAAGAATGAGAAAGGGGTTGCATGCTGAAAGGAGCAAGTAACTGTATGTTTTAAAATGTTCAGTTAGCCAGTCTTCAAACCTAATGCCTAATGGATTTCTATTACACTGGAAAAAATAGATTGTATCATGCGAAGGCAAGGACAATCTGAAGTATTGCGATTGGTATTTTTCTCTCTCTTTCTTTCCATTAAACTAATTAGTAGTAACAATAATTGAAGTTCAGGGGCTGACTGGAAGGGGGCTCATGGCTTAGGAGTGCCCAAAGCAACTGAGTACGTTTTTGTCTTGTTTGGCCTTCAAGGAGCATTAACAGTGGTCCAGAAGAGAAGATTATTGATGCATTACTCTTTCTTGTGCGTGATAGCTAATGCTTATTACAGCACTAATATTTGTTTTCTAGGCCAGTGTATCTATAGAGATAACAGCAGGAACCAAATATTTAAATTTTCTGAAAATTCAAATTTACTACCCCCAAAACTGGTCACTAATGGCCTCCTCATTTAACAATTTCATCAAATGAAAACCTCATGGTAATGTTGAATATGCAAACTAACTAAGCACTGAAATCAAGCTGTAGTAAGCAGGGTTTTAAAAGTGTATCCTCCAATAACGAGTGCAGAGCAGAGTTTTTGCAGTTTGCCCACCTTATTTTTAAGAATTTAAAGTTTAACTTTAAAAAAAAGGTTTCCTTGCTAATGTTTCTGATGACTGTTATGTTGTAATTCAGGCAGGAACAAACACATCTGGTTAGAAAAAAGATGTTTTTTCCAGGTGAGAACTGATGCAGTGCTCCTTTCTGGAGTTTGTAGACAGTGTCTTGGGTAGACGCAACCCCTGTTAAAGAGTACTGGAGTTCTCTGACTGTTCAGTAGCTTGTTACTACTGCACAACAGCATCACACGACAGGAAGCATGATGTGATACTACTGCACAGTAGTAACAAGTTACTGTGCAGTCAGCATCACACAAAAGTCATTTGGTGTTGCTATTGCACAGTAACTCTCAGGCAGTAGTATGCATCTCATGTAGAGGTGGCCAGGGAGTGGCAAGATTATATTTTACTAACTTTTCCCTCCAAAATTTCAGTCAATTTACTGGCAGCCTTCCTTTTAATTCCTTTACCATCTGAAGTGCTTTAAAACATATCTTTATTATCAAAATACATTGTTAATATCAAATGCATACATTTATCTTTACATAGATGTCAATACTGCCAATTTCACCAATACTCAGTTACATCATGGTATGTTAGGAACACATGAAAATCAGTATTCAGTGGATGCACTTTTGTGCTTGACTTTTGTATTTCACTGTTGCACTATTTTGAAAAAGTCTTCCATATAATGAAAGTTTTACTGGGTGCATCTACATGTGTGCTTTACTTTAGAGTAGACTAATTAGGTCTGTAGTAAATGGCACATATGGTGGTATCAACTCCACCATAGGATAGTACTGTTTGGGACAGTACTATCTTACAGCGAAGTAGTTTACTGAGACAAAACACGTGTAGATGTTGACCATGGGCATACATTGTGCCTGGTCAGTCCAGCCGGAGTGGGGCCTACTCTGCCCTGGATCAAGTTGCTGCTGCTCTGTGTGTATGTATAGATGCTGCTCCTGGGAGCAGTTGACCCTGGCTGAGATAGTTCTGGAGTTTATTGAACTGCATTGATTGCACACGTAGATGCACTCACTGGGCATGTTTAGATGAGCACAGATGTTTGTTTCCCAGGGGACAAGTAGCAGCAGCACACCTTATGCCACTACTACTTGTTGCCAGGGAATGCCTGTGCCATGTGCACTCTGGTCCATGGCAGGTTACCCTGGGTGGGGTAAGAGAGTCTGGGGCCAACAACTGTGCTGGTCCCAACAGCCTTACCTGGAGCCCTGGGGACTTCCCAGGGCTACATCCATGGCAGGAAGCCTGGCTGGCAACTGGAGTGTGACTCCAGCCAGCCAGGCTTTGGTTTTAGGTTGTATGCACTGCCACCATATATGCAGCCCCACTTTTATTCAGGGTGGGTTTTTTGGACCTCAGGATCTCCCAGTGTCAACCTTTCCCCCCCACACTACAAGGTAGCACCATGGAGAACACCTGCACGTGCAGTGCGTGGTGCCGCAGATGGGTCTGTGGCGCCACATACTGCATATCTGTGCTCATCTGGATGTGGCCACTATCTCTTTCTTTTATGAAGTTTCACTTACAATTTACACTACAAGTAGTGAAAGCATTAATATGTTTTAGTATAGTTCCTTTTGTTGACAACAGGTTTTCTTAAGATAGAATAGATTCTTTTTTTCAGAGGAATTGGTTGATCAAAAGAAGAAATCAGTGTTTGCTTTTTTGATGAATTCTGCTTGTTGACATGAAAAAAATCTTTATATACTGGCTCGTTATGATCACAGTTCTGTTTGTGTGTGTTTTATGTATGTATTTAGGGTTGTTGGTTGTAGCCATGATGTTCTAAGGACATAAACAGATGAGGTCCATTGGGTAGATGTGCTATCTTTTATTCCAACAACTAAATAGTTGAAAAAATTGTTCTTTGCAAGCTTGTGGGCAAAAACGCTCTTCTTCAGGCATAGGGAGAGTCTGTTGTTGTTTTGTGTGCTCTCCTGGGTAGACTAGAAGCCAATATGCAAAATTCAGATCTGTGAAAATGCAAATGCATGGCACCAAGGTTCAGAGGCCTAGGAGACAATAGGTGTGAGACAGGTAGGTTGTGGGGGATAGGGGGAGGGTGGGAGGGGATGTTGAACTCATGATAGAATGTAGC